CCCCCCCCCCCCAAGCAAAGCTATTTCCTGCTGCCACCCACAAACATCTTCTTTTCCCCCTCTGCCAGCTGCGGAAAGAATGCCCCTTGGCTCAGCTGATGGACTGTGAGACAGACATGGTGAAGCAGATCAGAGCCCTGGATAGCGACATGCAGACCTTGGTTTATGAGAATTACAACAAATTCATTTCTGCCACAGGTAATTTGAGGAAGGGGAGGGGACACCGTTGTCAGTCTTCTCTCCTCTGAAGTGGGTAAAATGAGGAGCCAGATGGCAGGGGGGTCAATAGTCTGACTCCGGAAACCGCTCAGAGAGAGCTGTAAAGCACTATAATTTTAGCTTATTGTCGTTGCACCTCGTACAACGAAATCAAACCCCATCTTCAGTGCACATCATGACCATGAAAATAAACACAAACACACATCCTACACACATTGAACCGGAAACTATACAGTGGAATTCAGCAGAGCTCCTGCCCTGGGATAGAAGCTGTTTTTCAGCCTAGTTGTCCTTGTTTTTAATGTCTGGTACCGTCTGCCCGATGGTAATAGTTCAAAAAAAGGTGTGCCCAGGATGAGATGAATCTTGAGAATGTTTTGAACTTTCTTAAGGCAGCGGGAGCTCTAAAGCTCTTCCAAAGAGGGGAGAGGGCAACCCAGGATCCTCTGGGCAATGACGTTAGCTCTCTGGAGCGCTGTCCTATCTGCCCTTGTGCAATTGGCAAACCATACACAGGTGCAGGAAGTTAAAATGCTCTCTAGGGTGCAGCGGTAGAAAGTCACCAGCATATAAAGTGATATATAACTGTTGGCGCTAGTGCTGTTTCGTCTAAGTATATTTCATTATATATTTCATCTTTCTGTTATGGTAATCAGAGAGTGGTATTTCTTATCTTGTCTTTCATTGTTTATTGTTCCATTCTTTTCTGATCTGTTCACATCTTTTCATGTCTTTTGATTGTTGTAAGCCACCTAGAGTTGGCCCATGCGTGATAAGCAGCAAATAAATTTAACAAATAATAAGTTTGAGATAGGTAGTCCTTGATTTACAGCCGGATGCTTAACAACCAACCTAAGCAGTGGTGGGATTCAAGTCAAAATTTAGGACTGGTTCTGTGGGCGTGGTGTGGCTTGGTGGGCCTGGCAGGGGAAGAAGGATACTGTAAAATCTCCATTCCCTCCCCACTCCTGGGGGAAGGTTACCACCAGTTTTCTGAACTACTCAAAACTTCTGCTACCGGTTCTCCAAAACTGGTCAGAACTGCGGAATCCCACCTCTGAGCCTAACCTTAATGAACCTACGTGGGGGCTATTTTACCTGAAGTCCCGATGATGCTCCCCGCTCAATGATCACATGTCCGCACTTCAGCCATTCAGCAACTGGGTCATATTTACAACTGTTTGGTGTGTCCCACGATCCCATGACCTAGTTTTGCAGCAGTTTGGCCAAAGGCTTCATTTACTTCCAGTTTTCAGCCCGACTGGATCCATACCAAGCCGAGGCATGTAGGGTCTCCTTCCGTGGGCAAAGGGTTGGACTAGAAGACCTGTGAGGTCCCCTCCAACTCTAGGATGGCATTGTGTCCTTCCGACTCAAGTCACTGTGCAGTTGCCTAATTTCTACGTGGTGTCTCAGCCCCCTTTCCCTCCAGTCCACTACATAGCACAAAAGAGTACCTATTCTCCAAAGCACCCGAGGACAGAACAGTAACTAATGGATGGAAATTAATCCAGGAGAGAAGCAACCCGGAATTAAGGAGAAATGTCCTAATAGTGAGAACAGTTAGTCCGTGGAACAGCTCCCCTCCAGAAGTTGTGGGTGCTGCTCCCTCACGGGAGGCTTTTAAGAAGCGACCGGACAGCCGTTTGTCTGGAATGGTATTGGGTCTCCTGCTTGGACAGCGGGGCTGGACTAGAAGACCTCCAAGGTCCCTCCCCACTTGCCATTCTGTTACTCCTGTCCTCCCCCACCCACCCACCCCCGCTAGACACAATCCGCAAGATGAAGAACGACTTCAAGAAGATGGAAGACGAGATGGACTGCCTGGCCGCCAACATGGCCGTGATCACTGAGTTCAGTGCCAGCATCAGTGGGACCCTGCAGGATCAACACGAGCAGATCACCAAGCTGTCAGGTGGGTGTGCCTGGTCTGCCCAGGTGGGAGATGGGTGGGGGAGCAAAGCATATAATCGCAGCAGTGGATGTTCTTGGGTCACAGAAAGGGCAGATACAGGTAAAGGTTCCCCTTGCACACATGTGCTCGTCCTTTCCGGCTCTAGGGGACGGTGCTCCTCTCCGTTTCAAAGCCGAAGAGCCGGCGCTGTCCGAAGACGCCTCCGTGGACATGTGGCTGGCAGGACTAAATGCTGAAGGAGCGCAGAACCCTGTTCCCTTCCCACCAAAGGGCTCCCTGTTTTCCTTCATTACAACAGCCCTGCTGTCTGACGAGACCACACACCAGTGGATGCCAGGCAGACCTCGAACCACGGCCGCAATTGGGATCTGGGCCTCCGTTGCTAAGCGAGGCGGTTGGTTAAGGAAGCCGTGCACAATGGTACCACCTTTTATGCAAGACTTCGTTAAGGAAACCGCTGCTGCAGTTGATAAATGGTCATTAAGCGATTTTTCCCTGTTGACTTTGCTTGCCAAAGGTTTTCAAAGAGCGATCGTTTGACCTCAAAAACAGCGCAGCTGTCATAACTCCAGGCCAGTTGCCAATAGCTCATGAGCCTGGGGAGGCTGCAACCAGTAACCACTGGTCCTCTGGTCGCTTTTTTCCAGTGCAGTTGTAACTTTGAACGGTCGCTAAAGGAATGATTATCCGCCATTCGATTTATTCCATAAATGCTGTCTTTCTAAAGAACACTCCTGCTTTGACGGCGTCCTTACACTACAAGCCGTGTAAGATGGCTGGGCAAAGGTCTCCTGGACGAGCAATAAGGGTGGTGGCTGGGATGTAGATTTGGCATTATTGGTAGTCCTCAACTTACAACAGTTCACTTAGTGATGGTTAAAAGTTACAATGGCAATGAAAAAAGGGAGTTATGACTATTTTTCATACTTATGCCTGTTTGCAGCATCCTCTGTGGTCAAAATTTGGACTGGGTAGTGCGGTGGTTAGAATGTAGTATTGCAGGCTACTTCTACTGACTGCCAAATTGATGGCATTTCGATTCTGACCGACTCAAGCTTGACTCAGCCTTCCGTCCTTCCGAGGTCGGTAAAGTGAGGACCCCGATTGTTGGGGGAAATAGGCTGACTCAGTAAACCGCTTAGAGAGGGCTGGAAAGCACTGTGAAGTGATATATAAATCTAAGGGCTATTGCCTGCCTGCCTGCCTGCCTGCCTTCCGATTAGAATGCAGTTGTTGTTATTGTTAGTTGCAAGTCATGTCCGACCCATTGCGCCCCCGTGGACAACGTTCCTCCAGGCCTTCCTGTCCTCCACCATCC